AAGTCGAACTTGTTGCCATGGAATGACAAAAATATTTTATTCAAATTCCCAAAACTACCAAAAGGCACCAGTACACCACCAGATCTATCTATGTGCCAAAGTTTGGTGAAGAAATAGTGAATGGTTTTTAGAGTTCTGCTCGGAAAAGAGCACTACCACCAATTTCAGTCTAAGTCAAACTTGTTGCCATGGAAACGCCAACAATATTTAATTCAGAATTCCAAAACTACCAAAGGCACCATAGACCACCAGATCCATGTATGTGCCAAGAAGTTTGGTCTCGAAGAAATAGTGAACGGTTTAATGTGCACGGACGGACGGAGTCATTTAATACCCGCAAAAGACGTTTGCGGGATAATAATAATTCCTAACTAGCTAATTTCATCTTGCTAAAGTTAAGACTGTAGAGGGACAGGAATATATAGAAAGTAAACAAGTTGTGTCGTGTTCAAGAGTAGAACGAGCTGTAAGCTCTTGAAGATAAAGTTCCGACAAGCCGGTAAGCACTGTAAATGGTACTGTATAAAGTTATGACTTATCCTTGCATGCACGCACCAACACGCGCACACCTGCATGTACACAGATGCATCGCTATATGCATGTGCGTGCGTTTTTGGAAGCTATATAACGCCATTTTCTCCTCATATAAATTAAAGCCACATTGAGACATACCGAGTCTATGTTCTGGTTCGCCAGAGACGAGAATATTTTATCAGTATCTCCCACAAGAAACAAAACAAATCCTTATGTATCAAGTGGATATTTATATGGATTGACATGACCCATATCCCTCGAAGGTTGAGCATACCAACAACATTCTGTAAAGTTACCCGAGTGTTCACAGAACCTTAACGTTTTGACAGAAATATTTTCAGTCTAAATACATTGTACTTGTATGTATTTAAATAGGACATATTGAAAAATAAACTTCGGACAATATTTGGGTTGGAAGTAAAGAAATAAAGTGTAGCATCTTGCCTAAATAGAGTTTCAAAATAAAAACTATGTTATACGTAGCAAATTAGGAATGTGTGTCATGTCGTAATGACATAAGATTGATCGCATGAATTCACTACATAGATCTACTTCGCTTTCTGAGCTGCTGTCGGTACTGTTTCAGCTAACCTTGGGCTAAGGTTGATATGTGCGAATATATGTAATGTCATTGAGCGAAAAGTTAACATTTGTATTGTTATTATTGTCTAGTGACGCTGTGGCGAACGCCTGTTTTCTCCTCAACACTGCACTGAAGAAGCGAGTCAACTCCCCACTATGACGTCAGGTCATGTGAGGTGAACACTACTCATTAATTCTCGGTAGTTTCCGGAACACGAGTACTATTTTATTAAAAAATAACAACATTGTTTGCTATAAATATTGACTTTAGAAAAACAAATATTCTCAAGTTTTCATATGCCTTCTAAATGACTTGATTTCCGATTTTGTATGTATATCCCCTTTAAAGTAAGTGGTTTTGGAACTAAGGAAGCGTAGTAATGTCTAAAATGTAATTAAAAAATGAACAAAAAAACCAAAACGGACTCAAACAGAACATTACCATAGGGAATGTCGCGGCTAAGTGTAAGAAACAGCAAGAAACAACACGATGCTGTAAACAGATCTGACTTCTCAGAAACGAAAGTACAGCCTGAAGTAAACGAGTGGTTGACAGTATGAGCACGGGTCCACATAAATGATACAACTGTTTATAATCACTTCGTAACTATTACCCAACCGGTCTACCACAAGTATCGCGATTTGAGGGCCAGTTCCTTCAACAGATCCCAAAGGAAAATTATTAACTGAAATCAGATACTTATAAAACACCGATTGGAATTAAATCTGGTAGATTCCAGTATTTAACTAACATCAAACATTTTAACGTATTCCTGCCGACTCTTAAGAGTCCAATTAAGTCTCAAAATGAGTTACCAAACTCTACTTAGAGCGTTCATACGAAATACGAACCGATCTATTTGAAGAATTATTTTGTCTTCAAGCCCAATTAAAAACTACTTCAAGGGGGATAACCGCTACAAGATCTACAGGTGGGGTTTGATTTCCGAAGACGACCACCTGTGTCCAAGTCGGGGATTCCCCAGCCGATCAATCTCCCCAAGCGGAAACAGAGGCGCCCTCTTGTGAGCAGCACGTGCTAATTACGCCAGGGACTTACAACTAGTTCTTTCTTTCATGTATCCCCAAGGTCGACAGGGGTGAAGGGATCGATCTCGGAAGACGATGAAAGTTTAGAATCCATTTACATAGATATTTGTGTTAGCCTTTGGGCTATATAGCTCGGGATTACAAAGGTGCATCGACAAGAGTGTAGACAGTTTTTCTCGATCTCACCACCCCAAGCGATTTCCGAACTACCTGTCCAGAGTGTAGAATGAATAACCACGATTTGTAGATATTCCGGGCGCCATCTGTTTGGCGTCGTCGCATGCCAAAACAGCGGACAGTGCAGCGGGGAACCTTCAATTGCAGAACCGAAATAAACATATATGTAGCTATGTCTCATGTACTTAATTCGACGAGGTATGAATCACACACTTTCTTCTGTAGACATACCTTATGATTATGGAATATGGTTTCTGGGATATTTGTTCATTAACCAAGGATAATTCTTTGAGACATCTGAACTTGTTTTAGTAAATGGCCTCTTGTTATTGGTAAAATGACATCTTGTTATCAGTTGAGCGAATTTCCAATACAACCACAGGTGTTACCTCAAGTTTGTTTTTTGTTGTTTGCTAAGCAACGATTATCTTATGGCATCATTGATATTGATGTAATGTCTGGCTATAACTGATTCAGAGGGTTATGTCAATATACTCCAGACATATTCAAGCAATATTGCGGGGTCCTGGATATTATGGAACCTTGGACTTCATCAGCAATGAATGAATGAATGAGAAAAAGCATAATATTATTTCGATCGCTCTTGCATTCATCGACATCAGTAATGCTCAGCTATCTCAAACTCCGTTTTTACGAACGGACCTTCATCTCGATACCTGTTATTACGAACGTACATTATCTCGATACGTGTTAATAGGAACATACCTTTATCTCGATAGCTGCTATTATGAACGTACCTTTATCGCGATACCTGCTATTACGAACGTACCTTTATTTCGATGCCTGTTATTACGAACGTACCATTATCTCGATACCTGTTATTACGAACGTACCGTTATCACGAACCTGCAATTAGGAATGTACCGATATTATTCCAGCCATATGACGGTGAGCTTTAAATAAATACGCCTAATCCAGTGATTGATATCACAAACAAATACCGTTGCCATAAACTAACGATCAACCAAGGCACCGAATCGTACTTGCCTCTTTTTACCTTGCCTCTGTTCGAATTCGAATCCGAATCAAGAGGACAATCGTTATGGTGACCGTCACCGTCACCGTCATCGCTATTGTTGTTGGTGTAGTTGGTTCCGTTAAAGACGATGTGGAATGTGGTAGACAGACATTAACAGACAGATCACTCCTGTCTGGAAATTCAATTCCGTTATCTTCACCCCGTTCCAAAATAAACACATTATTGGTTATCTGTTATACTAATCCACGAGGCAGCTTGGCGCTTTCACAGACACATGGAATCCAGCTTATAAGCGTCTTCGCGTTTAACAGAGACGTGGCTCACAGCGCAAGCTGTTATTGTGAGCTATAGTAGACTGAATATAGTTTTACGCCGCTCTGAGCACTATTCCAACAAAAGCACCGAGAGGTACTCCAAAATATGTATTTGGACGGTGTACTCATGGCGAAATAACGCTTAACCTCAAGGTTACGTACACGCGTCATGTAACACCGAAAGTGGCATCAGTTCTTATGTTTAATTTAAGGTTATCATGCAATCTTTACAAATTCTAACATTGCTACAAATTCCTCTCTTTCTTATCATTTTGTATATTGGTGCTTAAATTGGCAGCGAAAGTATTCTGATAATTTCAATATTTCAATATAGAATAACAATTTAACGAGTCGTCTAACGTCGCCGTCAGCAGTACTTCAACTATGAGATGGCGTCTAAGTATTCGAGTCTGGACCAGACAATCCAGTGATTGACATTATGAGCATTAATCTACACAACTGGGATACGATGACGTGTCAACCAAGTCAGCGAGCGTGACACCCGATCCCGTTTGTCGCCTCTTACGACAAGCATGGGTTACTTAAGTCCAAGTCTAACCCGGATCTTCACCAGTCTGAAGGAACGACCTGATACAGGTACCACAAGACAGTGAACCATTTTGGTGACACCACAAGCACGGCATGGTACTGACAAACCCAGAAACGGAAGCGTGGCAAATTGGGATTCGCGCCCAAAGTAATGAGTTTCCGGCGTGCCCAAGGGAGGTAACTCGTCATGGCGAATTAAGTCGTCATGGCGAATTGCGGCACGTTGACGAGCCCACCAGGTTTACTCACACTGCCCTGCCAAACTGACCACGTAACTCCACTGACATGAGACATTCAGACTGTAATGGTCACTGCTTTCATCTCTCACTCGGACAAAGCGAAGGCGAAATGTCAGTAAAAAGATGTCTTAACCGACCTCAAGAAGAAAGCACGGCACACTAAAGCTTCGTACGTTGACCTTCAGTGACATACAGTGCGGGCAAATCTTGTTTCCTGTGAATTGTTTCCGCCGACTCCACGTTTTTCATCTTTGACTTGGAGGGTTCACGCCGAAGTATTTACCGACGAGTCTAAATCTGTCAGCATCACCAAACTGACATATGTGTCCCAGGCGTCGATCAAACAATCACGTGGTACGAGACACATGTCACGTGGTGCAATGGCGATAGTCAAGGCTGTCAAACATTTTGAAACTTGTGACACCTGTCAACATGTCTTGTCAAAACACCAGCGGTTACTGCAGATCAAGTGTGGTGCGCGAGAGATTACATTCATGCAACAGCTACTGCGAATGCACGTGCAGTCCGTGCTTGTCATGCGACAAAATGTACCGGGCGAGGAGACATGTTGCCTCAGCCTGACATCGAATACCGAAGTTGCAAACCGTTACTCGCGATATCAGTCACTGCTTTGAAAGGATTACAGCGTCGAGGATAGTCTGTCTCACAGTCCCTGAACCACATTATTTTCCCTACAGCCTAGCCCTCCCTACAATGTAGTCTGTCTCACAGTCCCTGAACCACATTATTTTCCCTACAGCCTAGCCCTCCCTGCAATGTAGTCTGTCTCACAGTCCCTGAACCACATTATTTTCCCTACAGCCTAGCCCTCCCTGCAATGTAGTCTGTCTCACAGTCCCTGAACCACGTTATTTTCCCTACAGCCTAGCCCTCCCTACAATGTAGTCTGTCTCACAGTCCCTGAACCACGTTATTTTCCCTACAGCCTGGCCCTCCTGCAATGTAGTCTGTCTCACAGTCCCTGAACCACATTATTTTCCCTACAGCCTAGCCCTCCCTACAATGTAGTCTGTCTCACAGTCCCTGAACCACATTATTTCCCCTACAGCCTGGCCCTCCCTGCAATGTAGTCTGTCTCACAGTCCCTGAACCACGTTATTTTCCCTACAGCCTGGCCCTCCCTACAATGTAGTCTGTCTCACAGTCCCTGAACCACATTATTTCCCCTACAGCCTGGCCCTCCTACAATGTAGTCTGTCTCACAGTCCCTGAACCACATTATTTCCCCTACAGCCTGGCCCTCCCTACAATGTAGTCTGTCTCACAGTCCCTGAACCACATTATTTCCCTACAGCCTGGCCCTCCCTACAATGTAGTCTGTCTCACAGTCCCTGAACCACATTATTTTCCCTACAGCCTAGCCCTCCCTGCACAATGCTAAAACTCTAAATGAAACAAGTCTAGATTTCTTCAGGTTCTGAATCCCCCATCTCACTGGGGCCACTTCTCAACTTAAATGGGTTTACTTGTTACTATCAAAAATATATACATGCATATTAGGGACTAAGTGGTGACTGTGTTCGTTCCCCTTTTGAAAACTCTTGAAGCAAGAAATACCACATATCTGAAACACTATGATAGGCTCAAAATTGTAGCCCTTAAGCCGAATTTATGAAATTATATATTTCTTGTCAACCGTCTGATGTCCGCTACGTGTGTTCTTTCAAAGACACACCGGTTGTGATTATTGATTTGCAATGTGTCATCGGATGTCGACAATCCATTCCAGCTGAATCCGTCATTGTTCGCGAATTAAATTATCGTGTTCTACACAAATGAAATAACAGATATAAAAAGCAGTAACTGACAGCATGAAATTTCAGTTTTGTATTTTAATTAATGCTTTCACGCGACCTCATACGGTACGGCTGATATGATACGGCGATGGTTCTGAATACGATGAATGTTTCAGTAAGCGACGACTTGAACTTCAGAGCCATGTTCAACAGTATTATATATATATCTTGGCGTTTCATCTTGGATTTGAAATTCTCTAATCTACCATAAAGTGTTGAAAGTAAAGCCCTGATGATGTTCACTATATTCTCAGCTCCCTAAGAAATATACAACCCAACCTAGAAGGCTGAGTGCAGCGTTCGAAATACCTCTCTGCACGACCGCCCGGGACGGGTTATTTTCAAGACTGCCAGATTCTCAAATTAACCTCCCCGACGGTCGGGTTAAAATTTAGACATGTATATCAAGATATTCATCATTTTTCAGGAAAATAATCATTCTTAACTCACTCACAAATGTGAAATTAACAGTTAATTCTTTTCTTGAATTGGCATGAGTTTTTTCAATATTTTAATTCAATAACACTAAGTAAATACTAAGCATTTTTTGTGGGCAAGTACGTTTTGGTCAGGGCTGGCAAGTTTTACATCTAACCAAACCTGTGGTCTGGCTGACAGTTTTGAGAGAGCGTCATATCCTGCTAAGAGTCATCCTACCGGGTACCCACGCACTGCTTGTTGAAGCAGCACAAAGACCTTGGGCGAACGTATTGTTCAGAATGCGGCGAAAAGAACTCTCAAGTCCAGTCCTGAAAACTGACGCCCATCCCACTCTTCATTCACCTGGTTTGTGTCCTGTGCACTATACACAAGACGTAACATCTCTTTAACAGTGAAACACACACTGAACACTTATTAGTGAATAAAAGGAACGGATGTGTGCACTGCAACTGCGAACGAACGACCATGAGACAAACTAAAGGTCATGGTCATATTAAATATATATGTCAATATGTGATATCTATATGAAATACAATAATCGTACAGCATTATTGCATTTCCCTCGACGGAGCCTATATTCCTCCATTTAAAAATAGATACTGCCTACATTAACAATTTAACAGTGCTACGGAAATCTATTTGCATATTTAGCCAACATTTGGGTAAGAGGTCCTCTGTCTGCAAGGTCATCTGAGGTCATATCTCGACAATCAATAGATATTCACTCGTTGTCCCACGTTTACCATGCATCGTAGTTGCTTAACATTCAATACAGTGTGAGCATGCCGGTCCAGAGGGAGATCTAGTCCACGCATCATCATTCCGTCATTAATTAATCGCTTGGCTTCATTGATGTAATTTTAATTTGTGAATGAAATATGATCCGAAGTCCGACGCTACAGTAAGCCAAGATTATAACCAACTCAAAAAGTCCACTAATTTAGCTCGTTAGAATCGTAGTTCCTTGAACACACGCTAAAATATTCAACCAAAGGCAGTTCGTTACATGAGTCCGTTCGTTTTAAACGCAGTATTCGGTGTACTTCTAGATAGACCTGAAGAGAACGAATGCTTAGTTCATAAAACGGAGAACTGAATTGAAAACGTAGTATATGAGTAAAAATGTAATGGCCCATTTTTTTGTGTTTTCACGAACATCAGTCAAAATTCGTCTTGTTTTGAATCGTGTCATTTTAACACAGTTAAGATAAATTACCAAATTCATTAAAGCGAACCTGACGCACACAAATTAATCATCTTCACAATTTCTCACGCAAGGATGAAATTCCGAGCGACGGATCCCACAACAATGCCAATTATAATTCCATTAGTACGTAACACAATGAAAGAAGCGCAGTCAGGTTGTCGGCACTAACCGATACCAGTGCTAATGTGTAGAGACGCCTGACTTGAAACTCGCGAGCTTAGAATCAGAGCTATTATAGATCGTGTATAGCCAAGCGAGTCACGCGAATGTCGTGAGATTTCTGCCGTTGCAATCTGTCATTCTTGAGCGTTCTTGTAATATGGGAACCAGAATGTTTTAAGCAGGCGTTTATTTAGACGAAAGCAGCAATCAATGATAACAAATTGTGAGGCAGGCCGATTATGGCGGAGTCTTTTTCCGAAATTAGTCAGAATTTACAACCGAGAGCATCAATTGTGTCATTTATGTTCAACATCCCTCTGCATCTTAACTGTTCCGGAATAACAATCAGCTTCAAATCCGCCAACGCGAGTGCGATACATCAAAACACGGTTTATTTTTAACCTTGACGTCATGTCAACGCTGGCGATCGATTTCATATCAAAACACACGGCGAGGAAATCAAAACATAAACATCGTGAAGCACGTGCGATCAGTGACGCATCGATTCCAACTGAAATGTAAACCGCGGGGTGTAAACAAGCCGTTATTTATGTCGACACGTATTTCTGATGTTTGTGCAGCTGTCTAATTAAACGTAATTACATTTATGTGACCATAAATACCATCTTAATAAGTCTAAACTAGATTTGAACCAGACTTCCTATCGTAGTGCTGTCAATTAAAAATGACCGGTTCCTTTTGTATGGGGATATATACATACACCGAAATCAATAGAAAGACAGCCTACTCTTGGTAAAAGAATGCGGAGGTTCAAGCAGCCCCAAACGAAGACTGGCGTGGGTTAGACATGCTCTGGGGAGCAGTGCTCGGGGTGCTATTTTTATCCTGTTCGTGAATGAGCGCGGTTTAAATGGAAAATGAGAGCGATGCAGGGGGTCTTCGAGGTTTCGGATAACATCAAGTAGTTCCACCTACCTTCTTGTTGTAGAAGCCGATGGTAAAATCAGAAATCTCAGTCAGGGCTGTGGTGCGTTGTTAGTTAATTCCTTAATTAGGTCACAAAGAAGTAAATGACTTGTAAAATACTAAGTCCGTCAACTTGTTCAAATGCCACGAAATTAACTATAGGTTACGTTGACTGATGACGATTCACCCTGTGAACGATTTCCGCAATATAAACAGCGTCTGTGTTACATCCTTTATAGAGGTTAGCGATGACGGGGTAGGGATGCGCATCCCCAAACACAGCATCATCAACACAGTTTGTGAGCAACAGGTTACACGACAGTGTCAATAGACGCGAGTCCTCATTCGCGATGTCAGCTCGACTTGGCGTTACAGTCACGAGACACAGTCCGCTAGGTTTTATCTCGGATTTACCGAGACGATATTCACTGACTGCCCTCGATCGCGTGCCATGAACGCTGAAGCATTGCACATGCCAACAAATAGCGTCTGTGTGCGTCGCCTCTCCACTCGCGTAAACGACACATTTCATTGGGTTCTTGTGTGTGGAATCACAGGCGTATCGAGTTCGGCTGCGTTCGGGAGCGCCGCTTCCGTGTCGCTGGTTTGGGTTCATTCACCTAGGATTGGTTCTCGGAGTTCCTTCTTGAATTGAGAACGCTGAGTGGGGCTACCTTCAACTGACTGACTGAGTTTTAGTTTCACGCCGCTTTTAGCAATATTCCAGCAACATCACGGCGGGGGACACCAGAAATGGGCTTCACACATTGTACCCATGTGGGGATTCGAACCCTGGTCTTCGGCGTGACGAGCCAAAGCTTTAACCACTAGGCTACCCCACCGCTCCGGCTACCTTCAAGTAATGTTTGACTAATAGTATGAAAAGTCCTTTGTTAAGTACCTCTACCTCAGAAAATGAGTTTATCGTGTTCTTGTTTTTAACCGTTCACGGGTGCATCTAGACTAACGCTTTGTCTTTGAGTTTATACTCTTATTTAAATTGAAAAGGATCACCAGTGAACCTGGGGAAATCTAGACTTGTTTCATTCAGGGCTTTTGCATTGCTCATCGTTTTCAGGCCCCAGCGGCCCCGGACAAAACATGATCTTCCCACTTTCTCTATTGGACACTGTGAAATGACACCAAGTTCTCAAGTCCGGAATCTTGGTGTAGTATTTGACTCATCTCTCTGCATGGAACCACATGTCAACAGTGTTTGTAGCAGCGCTTATTTCCACATTCGGAATATCGGCCTGATCCGCACGTACCTTGATGAGAAGACAACGAGTGCTGTGGTACAGGCGTATGTAACATCATACATTGATTACTGCAACTGGTTGCTTAGTCTCTCACGGTCCATGAACCACATCATTTTCCCTACTGCCAAGCCTCTCTGCAGTGCTAAAGCCCTTAATAAAGCAAGTCTAGATTTCCTCTAAATCTATGGTCTCCTTATGGCTCCTTTTCAATTTAAATGGGCTTGTTTGTTACTATCAAAATTATATATATTCAGAGACTAAGCGTTAGTCTACTCGTTGATCAGTGGTCTTCCAAGTCACGTGCTTCACAAGCTACAGAAGTCCAGATTTTAGCCGCAAGATTGATCAGCAGAACAAAGAAGATGGAACACATTACCCCTGTCATGGAAAATCTCCACTGGCTCCAATACAAAGTATTGCTTCTTGTTTTCAAATGCGTCCATGGACTGGCTTCAGAGTATCTTTCACAACTTGTAAAACCCTATGTTCCAACTCGATCTCTTCCCTCCAGTGACAAATCTCTAGTGCAAATTCAATGTACAAGAACAAAGTCTTTTGGTGACCGAGCATTCTCTTTAAATGGTCCCAAACTCTGGAAAAATCTACCACAAGAACTTCGATCACTGACTGAACTTGAACCTCGGATCGATCATCGACCGTCAGCTCTCCTTTCCACTAGAGAAATATCGTTGTTCATACCTATTAAGCGATCGCATATTTATTCATTTTTAAAAATATTTCTAATTGACTTTTAGAACTGTCTTGCTGTCTTCAGACATGAAAGACAACGTCTGACATAACTGACGTAACTGCTTTCCATTCAAGTTCATCTGAGTCACCCGTAAGCCCCGTTTTTGTAACATAGGCCAATGGGGTTCAGCTTACTCAAAAACTCAAATAGAGGTCGAATTGGTACGTTTTCATTTTTAAGTTTTGCGTGTGTGTTATATATTTCGATATATGTTTTACTTGAAGCCAATGCTTCGGTGCATGTATTAGCTCTAGAAATCCCACAGTTATCCAAATAGGATTGTATCGTCTAAGCAACCATAACTGATCTAATGAGCCATTCGCAGTTTCACTGTGCTAGAGTTGGTACTTAGACGTGCATGGCTTAATCTTTGAGACAAGCATATGATTACTGGTAGGATCAACCAGATAAGCGTCTAAGACCATTATATGAAAATGGTTCCATTATATCCCAGTTGCGTAGATCGATGTTCATGATGTCAATCACTGGTCCGTGTGGTCCTGACTCCATAGCTTACAGACAGCAGTCATATAGCTCTTATATTGTTTGGCCCAGTTTATATCGATTCATTACGTGGATACACGAAACCGATCCAAATAAACATATTTCGATACAATTCACCATTAATTTGTGAAATCGTTACAGCCTCAGAACAGTGTGCGAAATAGTTTCCAAATTTTGCTAGTCAGTCGGACTAGCTATGCCTTAATGTTACTAGCCAACAGAATAATACACTAGTCCGAAATTTGAAAGTAGACACGAGTTTCATCATTAAGCTACTAACATGATGATTCTTTTTATCAGGCCACAAACCTGCATGATTTAAAAGTGTGTTATAACTTAATAAGACGGAGAGTGATATATTTACGAAATGACCCCTTGAAAACTCACTAGCCAGTCGGGCCAGTGACTGTGGAAATTTACTGGCCCGACTGTATTTTTACTAGCCACAGGCTAGCGGGCCAGTGGCTATTTCGCACACTGCCTCAGAACATTCACCACATCCGGAATACTCTGGTGATACAGAAAGGCGGAATAGTGTTCTTGATTACTGTCGTCTGAAACATTCGCCCAAACACAGTCGCGGTGTAAGGGAATTAACTCCGTACAGCGAAGCCAGGCCCTACAGCTGCTCAGAAGGTTGTTGTAAACCCGATTGTCGATATTCCTCGCCTCTGAGAAACTCTAGAGCAGGTTATGTAGGAAAGCGTGTAGTGGGCCGTCTCCCGCTGATTTACCACTCGGGGAATAATCACTCGCTTTCATCATAAAACACAATCCCGCGGTAAGGTGACGAGTATTGAATCGGGAAACGTACTGTTTGCATCACGATCGGTAAGCGAGACATGCGGTGGTGGAGTCGACAGCGTTTAGACGTAAGCTGTGACATTTTGTCATTAGACCAGGATCAAACGAAACCATTTGCAGATTACACAGACATCAAAGTGTTTAATGGCCAATGAACTGCCCCGCGAAAACGGGAATTTATTTGACATAAAGAGCTACTTGGCACCGTTTGATTGACACATGTGACTTGCAGGAATCTGCTTTTGGTAATTTGTAGATATGGAGAAGCACTGCTTCGTATTAATGATACAGTTTGATGCGGAATTTGTACACTTATTGCCCCTTATGTTTCTGGTCGATCGTTCGCGTCCAACAGCCTTTCATTTCGTAATCGAAATGTACTGGGTTAGTTCTCTATGGTAATGGTCAGGGCAGATTACCCAATTTGAGGGGATTAATGGGGGTTGTTACTTCGTTGGATTGACAGGACTGCTTATAAAATGGTAATAGATCTTCCCACAAGGAACCTGTTTTCTGTGTCTGGGAGTAATGACTGGATGGCCATGCTCTTGATACTCGATGAAAGTGGAAGTGTGTCTCTGCAAGAACGTTTGAAGATTGTCAACCCTTTCCGTGTTGCAGTCGTTACTGGGTCTTGTAAAACCTTGTTTAATCAGCTTTCGGAAAGGCATTCAAAACCTTTTAAGGTAGACAGGACATGTCCAAATCTAACACATCAGTTACCAAAATTATGTTCGATGTAATTCCCTAGTTTATCCTTTACCTGGTGGGGTAGCCTAAAGTGGTTGAAACGTCCACTCGTCACGCCGAAGACCCGAGTTCGATTCCCCACATGGGTACAATGTGTGAAGCCATTTTCTGGTGTCCCCGGCCGTTATGTTGCTTGAATACTTCTAAAAGCGGCGTAAAACCATACTCACTCAATCTTTTACCGGAAAAACGTTTGACTTGCCTTTCCTTGTGTTTGCGACGCTGTCTCCGGCCGCGACGGGAGTGAGTTTAGTTTTATGCCGCTTTTAGCGACATTCGAGCAATATCAATGCTTTGGACTCGAGAAATGGGCTTCACACATTGTACCCATTAGAGGAATCGAATCCAGGTCTTCGACATGATGAGCGAACGCTTTAACCACTAGGCTACCCGACCGCGACGGGCAGGATATGTCCACATTTTCAAGAACATCTGGTGTGATCACCAACAGTTGCATACCCGTGAAGATCTGGGTTAGAATATTGATCTTCAGTAACCCATGCTTGTCGTAAGAGGCGACTACCGGGATCGGGTGGTCAGGCTAGCTGACTTGGTAGAGTCATCGGTTCCCAATTGCGCAGGTCGATTCTCATGCTGTTGATGACTGGATTGTCTGGTCCAGACTCGATTATTCACAGACCGCCGACATATAGCTGGAATATTGTTGAGTGCGGCGTAAAACTAAACTCACTCACTCACTAACTGTTGCAAGGATATATTAGACGTTTAACAATTTGGTGAAACCGTGAAACCCGTGTTGACAATCCAACGATCATAATCGAGCCTGAATGAGTTTCACCCCTGATGGTTGGTTTCACAATAGTTCTAAAACGCCTTTGACATTCCACCTTAACATTGGGCTTTCGAAAACAAATGTTATATTTGGGATTACACTTCTCAGCAAAGCACAGATTCTAGTGCATTTACGAGTTGGTTCCACTCCGGGATTCGAACTCTCAATTTCATCTAATCGGCGGTGCATGATATTGACATGAAGTTTGTTTTGAAGATCAAAATACCATTAGACCTCCTGCTTGTGTTTGGTTAATGGACCTGGGAAATTAAAAAAAGATTTCAGTCTCTGTATTTCAGTTCAGTCTCTGTATACCATTTAACATAGCCTTCTGTTCTAGGTGAACACAAGTGGTTGGGTGGCCTAGTGGTTAAGCGTTCGCTCATCCCGCCGAAGACCGAGGTCCGATTCTCAAAAGGAGCAAAATGTTGATCCCATGTCCGAGATCAGTCATGATTTGACGGAATATTGCTAAAACGGCCTAAAGCAATATACATTCCCTCTGTTGTTTTCTGTAGAGCTTCCTCGGTAATGGCGTTCGTAGTTATGATTCCCCATAGGGAAAATTAATAGTAAAAGTTCATGGGAATCAAATTCCACGTGCACAGGACATGACTGACACCGGGGACGTTTTTTATTAATTTGTTTATTTCACAGTGCCGACCTGCAAATATTTCACAAATGTTTCAATACAAATTAAATTGTGTTGACAGTCGTTTTTGCTACCGGCGCAGCAATTTTCGTAATGAACAAACTTCAACGAAGGTCGATAGAAGAAAATAACTCTTTCATGTTTTCTTTCATGTATATTTTTTTTCTTAATTTCAATCGACCAATAATACTCTAAGTGATCACTTTAAGAAAAAAACCGTATTTTTTTCAATTTATTTTCAACCACCTATGGAATTTTAAAAAGGAAACGATGGCAAAAGATTTATATTCTGCCGGTGTAGAAGATTAAAGGAGATTAAATTGGCAAAAAAAGGTTTAGTTTGGCATCTGTTATGGACAGGTGGTGATGTATTTTATACCAAAGACACTTTTGTTCTTAATATCCTGTACCCTTTGGACTATTACTATAATACAAGCAAAATGAACTGCTTCCATATATCAGCTGAAGCCTTAACGGTCTGAATGTACACTACCGGACAGAAAGAACACACCCATATTTGGTTGTGCATATACTGACTGACTGAGTTTGGGTTTTAACGCCGCTGTTACCAATATTCCAGCATCATCACGGCGGGGAACACCAGAAATGGGCTTCACACATTGTGCCCATGTGGGGATTCGAACCCGGGTCTTCGGCGTGACGAGCCAACGCTTTAACCACTAGGCTACCCCACCGCCCCAAGGTTGTGCATATAACCGGTAGTTATTGGGCTGTGGTTTTCAACCATCTACAGGAAGGGGCGACCGATGTTAGAGAAAGGGACAAGTGATATTAGGATACGGAAAAGGGCGAGTGGTGAAAGGTTGCAAGAAGGGACAAGTGATATTAGGATACGGAAAAGGGCGAGGTTGGTGACAGGTTGGATACAAAAGGGCGAGTGGTGAAAGGTTGCAGGACAAGTGATATTAGGATACGGAAAAGGGCGAGTGGTGACAGGTTGCAAGAAGGGACAAGTGATATTAGGATACGGAAAAGGGCGAGTGGTGAAAGGTTGCAGGAAGGGACAAGTGATATTAGGATACGGAAAAGGGCGAGTGGTGACAGGTTGCAGGAAGGGACAAGTGATATTAGGATACGGAAAAGGGGCGAGTGGTGACAGGTTGCAGGAAGGTTGCATATTAGAATACGGACAAGTGATGAAAGGATACGGAAGGAGAGATATTAGGATGGGAAATGGACTAGGATGGGAAATGGGGAAGTGATGAGCGGAGGAGGATAGTATCGAGTGATGGAAGGTTAGGTAACGGTCCGAATGACCGAATGGTTCCGCATTGGTCACAGGAAAGGGCGGATGATCAAAAGTTATGGAAAGCGGCGAATGATCAAAGATAACAGAATGGGGCGAATGATCAAAGGTTAGGAAAGGGAATGGTAGTAAAATGTTACGGAAATCGGCAAAAATCTTACCCTGTATTTCAAATTGACTTGTTGTTTTTTTAAAGACGTTCCAAAGTGTTTAATGTTTAAAATCATGTATAGACTAAAGCTATTTTAAGTGGAATTTGTTTTCACATTGACGATAGACATGATATTTGATTGATGAACAGTCTTCACTCGAAATCATTAGTTTGTGTTGCACGTCCGATTAGTGTAAACAAATATCGCAGAATTCCAGCACATGAAGTGAAAACTTCGTCACGCATCTTTACAGACGAGAAATACAAAGATTTACCAAGACGAAACTGTACTTTGGCTTTACTGCTCAATAGACACATTCATACACGTCCTTATACTCTCAAATGCGTTTACGGTGGGCGCAGCATAGATGGCGAACCAGTCAAGTTGTCTTTGATACCATCCGGGCATGGACGGATATGATCTATGAACTGATTCGTGTGTGTTTGGTTTCAAAAACAAAGAACAAAACATGGAA